CTGGCACTTCAACAATGTTTAAAATAATTGTATGTATCTAATGCAAACATATCTTTATCCTAATGTTTTCCCATCTCACTTCCAAGTTACTGAATTTTTGAATATGTCCTTCCAAAAATGGATTGTATTTCTTTGTTAAATCATCTAAAATGATGGCTGAGTCTTTCACTGCATGTATCTGTAAATTTCCCAACCATGCAGTGAAGGCTTATTTAGGCTAATTTATGTTGATTGTCTTTTTTTTTTTTGAGGAGGTTTCAAATATTTGGCAAAGTGTAATTCAACAAAGTTGACACGGGGATATAATTAACGCTGCCAGAGGCAATAGGCATATCTAACAGGCCCAAGGATGTGGAATGCATGCTCATTTGTTTTGTCCTCCCTCAGCCCTTACTCTCTCTAAATCATTTTCTAAAAAAAAATATGTGCACAAATAAATGAAAACATATCAAACATGCTTATGCACAGATAGATCTGATTGAAGGAGCCACTAAGATTCCTTGAGCCAGGGCCTGCTGTAAAGCTACCTACCTCCCCATCCTTATGTTGGTGCCTTCCCTATCCATGACCTTGGTTAGCCAGGGTCTGAAAATACTCAATAGAAAATGCCAGAAATACACAGCTTATAAGCTTTAAACCAAGTGTGATTCCAATAACATGAAGAAGCTTCATGCAGTCCTGCTCTGTCTTACTTGGAATGTGAGTCATCCCTCTGTCTGGCGGTTCCACACCAGGTATACTACCCTCTCAATAATCATTGAGTCGCTGCCTCTGTGATGAAGTCAGCAGTAGTGATATCCCAGTGCCTGTGTTCCATTAATCATAAAAGTGGGGGAGTGCTGCTGCTGACTTGTGTCCTGGTTGCTCTGCTTCTGATCCTGCTCCCTGCTGAGAGTCTGGAAAAGCAATGGAAGATAGCCAAAGTGCTTAGACCCTTGCCAATCATGTGAGAGATCCTAATAAAACATCTGGCTCTTAGCTTTGGTCTGGCACAGCTCTGGCCATTTGAGGAATAAAGCAACAGACAGAAGATCTCTCTCTCTCTCTGTATCTCTGATTTTAAAAATAAACAAACAAATACATTTTTTAAGGAAGAAATAGAATCTTTCCCTGAGTCATTCACCAGATACTCATAATTAACTGAGCAGGGAGCAGCTGAAGATCTCCCACATGGGTGGCAGGGAGCTAAGTCCTTGAGCCATCATTGCTGCCTCTGTGGAGGCTCGCTGGCAGGAAGATGGACTCAGGACAGGAGCCTGGGCTCAAGCCTGGCCTCCGATGTGCAAGCTGGGCATCCCAAGGAGCCTCTTCACCACTATGCCAAATGCCCACCCCATCAGTGTTATTATAACTGTTTCATTCTTTAGATAAACCCTATCAGAGGCTTTTCAAATTTTAATTTAAATGGAGCTCATAAAAACAGTCAGTTCTTTGGCTTTTTAGCTGTTTGTGTGTTAAGGGATTCCACAGGTTCTTAACAAATGCATATCCTCATCTGAGACACAACGACTCCTGGGACTGGCACGATATCTGAATTGGCTAATCCTCCTTCTTCAAGCACCAGGATCCAATATGGGCACTGGTCCATGCCCCTGCTGCCCTACTTCTCATCCAGCTCCCTGCTTGTGGCCTGGAAAGCAGTGGAGGAAGGTGCAAAACCTTGGGACCCTGTGCATGCGTGGGAGACCTGGAAGAAGCCCCAGACTTCTGGCTTTGAATTGGTCCAGCTCTGGCCATTGCAGCCATGTGGGGAGTGAACCAGCAGAAGGAAGATGTTTCTATTTCTTCTCTGATCTATAACTCTGTCTTTCCAATAAAAACAAATCAATCTTTGATTAAAATAAAAAAAGAATGGACTACAAAAAGTACTGCTGTACTCCCAGACAGCAAAGGAGACTTACACTGTGGTGCCCATATCCTGAATACATGGCTCATGATTAGACTCTGAGCAGAAGCAGAAGCAGTCACATGGATGTGTCCTTCCATGCTGTGCACCCTATGGCGTGAGAGGCTCCAGACTAACTCAGTGACAGTCACTGCCTCCCAGACACTGTCCAAGGCCATGTCCCCATCGGGAGCACTGGCTCTCATTGCCTGTCCTCATTTTGTCACCAGAGTAGATGCCCCCGCATCGTTTGCCATGGTTTACTAGCTTGATTGCAAGCACGAAATCAGTCAAGTAGGATGCTTTGAGCTTCAGTAACTTCCAAACTGCACTCCTACTGGCACAGAGAGTGAGAACATTTCTATCTCACACACTAGGTGCTGCAAGAGCCTTGGTTCTGGCACCTTCATGAGTTCCTATGATCTCTGCCCAGCCCTGGTAGTTGGGAGGAGTGCTCTTGGCCTAATATCCAGTAAGAGAACCTCCTGAGGATGGCCATTCTAGTACTGTCTCTTGGGGATAAGGAAGACTTTTCCAGAAGCATCCAGCAGTGTCGCCCTCATGTCTCTGTTACAGATGGGGTTTGGTTCCATTTGCCGAGTGGCTTCCTGGGGAGAGTGAGATCAGTCACGCTGGCTTAGACAGTTCTAGATCACCCTTGGAACTGGCTGGGAGGACCTTCTTGAGTGAAATGGAGCAAGACCATGGTATACCACTCCCAAACCCACATTCTGCTGGATAGGCAGGGAAGGAAAGAGAATGGACATTGAGTACACAGCCAATGTCTTTGCAGGTCTCAGTAAGTATTGTGCATTGACTAAGTGAGCAAACAAAAAGATGTGTTGCTTTGTTTTAGTGCCTTATTTTCCCTAAATAGAGCGTAATTGAAGATATTCACTGCAATAAGAATGATACTGATGATAAATTCACATTATTCTTAACAATATATCACAGTCCTAAATATTTCTCTCGTGTCAATTCCTTTTTCATTACAATTCTCCATACCACTGCTATAGGAGCTGCATAGTATCTTCAGGGTCTAATCTAATGTAATCTAGATTTTAATCACAGATAGTGATGAAAATTGTATACAGAGACTTTGATGAGGTATGCCAACATCTGATGTATCTGTTTGACTTTGTAATCGGAATCAGACTTGAAATTTTGAAGCAGTACAAATATTCAAGCACCTTCACACCCTGTCAATTATTGATCAATAAAAAATGTGCAATAGCTGATTCATTGATCCTATGACCACATCATGCATGTTGCAGCCCTGATAATCTTTCCTTATTCTGTGGCTTCAGCAACTCTGTTTTCAAGGGTAAAGTAAGTGATGATGATTCTGGAAATAATAGGGCTTATTGCATATAAGTTAGCAAGTGCAATATAATACAGTCTCTTATCTCTCTCTCTCTGCGCCTCCATTGAAAATGAAAGAAAGCAAGACAGCTGATAATGCCCATAATCCCCTTCTCTGCCCATGGTGCACCTGCAAGCCCACTGTGCAGAAACTCGATGAAGGCACAGGATTATCTACTCCCAGAAAGTAGAAGCATCTTACAGTTCCCCAGTCACATCCATTTTAAATACAATGCAAGCATTTTATGTATTCTTCCCTTCACACCCGGACACCACAAGACACACACAATGAGAGACAGGTCAATTCTGCTCTCCCTGGTCATTTCCATTGTTTTTCAATCCAAAGTCAAATGTTGTGATCTGGGCTAATTTTGGACAGACAGACTGCTTAAAATGGCTTTGAACTTGCGTGCCCTCAAGTGGTCCAGACACCTTCCATTGCAGTTATTACTGCCTGAGCCTCTAAGGTATTTGTGTTTGTTCTCTTAGAAATGGCTTCAAGCTTATTAGTCTTTTGTTTTCAGTTAATTCCAAAAGCACATCCATTTTTCGCTCAGTTGGTTAAAAATAAAGATGCAAAATGCAGTGAAATATTGAAATGTGTTCACTGACGTGGCTCTTTCACTCTTCAGTGCTGTGAATCTGGGTTACTGCTTAACAGGCAGATTCCTGCCAGAAACTCAAGTTAACTTCATCAGTGGGTATTTGAGAGTCAAAATTCAGAATACAAAATTAACTGTATGAATGCACCATGAACAAAATACAAGCGGTGGGGAAAAAGTTGAAAAAAAATCTCAACTGACAAACTATGACAGTTGCCTGTGTTGGAGTCTCATGAAGTTCAGTCTGATTTTGGTGCTCTGTGGCAGCCCGGAGTCCCACACTTTAACCCCCATGGTGGACAAAAGGTGGAGGGCCACTGTCTCCAAACCCTGGCTTTGAAGAGGAGCTTCCAGGGACACACACGGTACACGACACCGAGGTCCCTACCCTGCAACCGGGAACATGTGGCCTGACATCTGATGCTTCCAGCCTGGGAGGTAAGAATCCAGGACCGTGTGGGTCCTAGAAGTGGAAGGCAGGCCCGCTTGCTTTTCCTCCTCTTCCACACTGCCTCACTGCAGACCAAGCTTACAGAAAGCCAGGTTGGAGGGAGGGGAAAGAGAGCAACTGCCCACGCCTTCCTACTTCTGCCAGATGGCGGCTTCAGCCCTAGCTGCATCAGCAGCGGAGAGCAACTCATTGATGAGTGAAGAATGATGGTCAGGTCCATATGTGGTCAGGGACTTACTCAAGTGGACTACAAGATGGTATGTGAATTAAGAGAGGAAAAAAGCCACGAGACTGCCAAATTTTCTTCCAGGAACCTGGGAAAAAATAATTTCCACTGAATGGCTATGAAAGGGTGGGGGAGACAGAAGGAAAACCTGAGGCTGATAGCATATCACAGAATGTGTAGCATATATGTGTAGCATATGAGTGTATATATATATGCCTAATATAGGGTGCTTCAAAATTTTATTAAAATATTAGTTTAGTTTTTCAGTATAAATGTCTTAAAATTTGGGCAAGGATTTTTTTTCATAGCATGCACTTTCCGTAACTACTTTGAATATTGTACATACTATTTAGATTTCATACCTAGATTTAAATTTTAAGCTTAAAACATGAATGGATTTAAAGATTAGCTCCGTAAGAAAACATAAAATGAAGATAACAATATCAGTGATTTAGAAATGAAAGGTGGTACTACCTTGTTGTGATGAAGCCATAAGTATTTTAAATTTTTAAACCTGGAAAGATCAATGACCTCTGTCAAGTCCCTGAAAAAGAAAGAAGAAAACAAGGTGAATATCAACCAGGACTGACATTGGCCATGGTCAGTCTCCTGGGGGAGGGCAGGGCTGGTTACGTGGTTGTATTTGGGAGTCAGGGAATAGATAGGTCTGTTCTTTATTCAGTTATCAGCATGATTCACCTGTTTTATTAGAAATTCCACCGTTATATCCTCATGAGCTTTAGTTTAAAGGAAAGCATTTTACTGGTAACGCAGAAAAACGCACCTCCTTACGACTGAATTTATTCCATCTTCAAATTAAAAGCAGAGTTGACCGAGGGCATCCGGATGGGAAAAGTCAGTAGAGAACATTCAGGGAGCTGCGAGAAACACCTGCTGCGTCAGTGTTGTGTGCTGGAGGCTGCTTTTGCTCTTGGTTCTTATCTTGGCCAGATGGGAACCACAGGAGGTGGCAAGGGCAGAGGCTGAGTGAAGGGCCTTGTTGTCCCTTTGCTGTGGGTTAGTCGAAGGATCCAGGTGTGCTCCAGCTGTCATGAACTGTGTGGGACTCTAGCTATGGATACCTGGGTCCTTACTGCAGATGCTGCCCACTCAACAGAGGGGCTGACCCAGCTTGGGAAGGGACTGTCAATAGAAAAGCCCAAGCCTGGGGGAGAATCTGCTGTTTGTCTCAGATCTTGTATTTCTCAAGGTAAAATCTTAGCATGCTAAGCCTGTATGCTTATGTGCCGATAGCTGTCAAACCCTTACACAGAGCATAAATGCAGGTACTTGTAAAAATGTATGGATGCATATGAGGGAACTTCAGACATTCATGACAAAACAGGCTTAGGAAAAAGTATGCAACTTTGAAAACATTTTACACCAAAATAAAAACACATGTTTTCAATTTTCCTAAGTTTTTGAAGTATGCTTACTTTAGGCATTTATTTAAGCACTTAGAAATATTAATGCTAATTATTCTTACACATGTACACTAATTTACACATGTACACTAATAATACCTTCTCATTGATTTTTTAATCTTTGAATCTGAGAGGACTAGAATTATCATATATATATATGTAATTGTTATTATTGTAAATGAAAAGCATGTTTAAAGCATGCAGGAAAATCAATCTTTTCCATCAAGTTTTTAATACTGAAAATTTTCAAGAGTAAGGGAAGTGGAACAGTACAATGGACACTTGTGAGGCCTTCATAATTTCAAATACGTTACCATGATTTGCCCTTGTATTTAATCTATATCCTTACTGGGTGATAATTTTCATGAAAAATCACTTGCAGGCACGTTGCCGGATTATACTGCAGTCTTTTCCATCCTAAATAACTCAGCGTGCACATTTCCCTAAATTAGGACATCTTCCTGCATAACCACGTATCATTATCACACTTCAGAAGATCGTGTTTCATTTAGTAATATCATTTAATAAATCATTCACATTCAAATCTGTTGGTGGGACCCTACATTTCTTTGTGGTTTGGTTAAATCCTGAATCTCATCAACATTCAGGCGTGGAGTGAATTTAATCTTTTGAACATTTTCCCTCCTTTTTCCCCTTAACAATGAGTTTTTTAAGGGTTCAAGTCAGGTTCCTGATGATTAAATTCAAGACAGTCATCTCGTATGCAGTGGTGGCAATTAGTACCTGGTAGCACATGGTAAATGATACTGGCTTGTCCCACTCTTGGTGGGGGAGGGAAGAAATGAATGAATGAAGATAGTCAGCTGGATAGGCTGGTAGCTGCCAGGTCTCTCCATTGTATGAAGGGCAAAACTCAGGCTGCACATCTGGGTCTCCAACACCTATTTACTCAATGACCTTACTTCAGTGACAATCCTTACTTGCAAATTTGTGTTTAGAAAGTGACATCTTGCCTTTCTAAAAATGACACAGAGAAAAGGAGAGACAGATCAAAGCTGGGAGCCAGAAATTCCATCTGGGTCTCCCACATGGGTGACAGGGGGTCCAAGCGCTTCGGCCATCTTCTACTGCGCTCCTAGGTTCAAGAGCAGGCAGGTGGACTGGAAGTAGGGTAATCAGGACCAAATGCACTGCTCAAATACGACATACCAGCATTGCGAGCGTGGGCTTAGTTGACTGTGTCAGATTGCCAGTGCCAGTGATGCTTTTCTTAAGTGTTTCATTTCAATTGATTGGCTGGTGTTCTTTTGTAGATATCATCTGCCCTCTTCCCTGCCCCATCTTCCTGTCACTCATTTTCTTCCCCAGCCTCCGTCATGTCCCAGTTGCCTCTTAAAGTTCACGACCCTCAACACTTGCAGTGGGGTGAAGTTTTTAACCCCGAAACTCCGGAAGACACAGAGTAGAGCTTGGTCATGGCTGCTGAAACGCACAGTGTGGCTGCGGAGTGCTGGCTGTTGGCTAGTGAGAACTGTAGGGTCTGAGCCCAGTCTTCCCTTTTGCTTTCTCTTCCTTTCTACTGGGTTCTGACTCCTGCACCGGCATCGCTCTATGGAAAAAGTCACTTTATCCTCTGCCACCTTGGGAAGTTCAAGAGGAGGCAAAGGAAGCTGTTGATGTAAAAGAGGGCTCTTCTTGCTTCCCAAGAAAGCCAGAGTAGAAGTTGTCACTGGTCATGGCATGACAGCAGTTATTATTATAGCAGAGGGATAAAGTGAGTCTATATTCCTAATGACAGCAACCATATTAACCAGGCTAATGATATCTGGAATGTCAGCTGGGTCCCAGGCCCTCCTCTAACTACTAATAGCCCACTGCAGCTTCACAACAGCCTGCGAATAGGGCACTGCCCTAACATTAACACAGGTTACACAGGTACAATTGAGTGTTAGAGAAACAAGTGTTTCCAACACTACACGATGTCTACTATTTCTCCAGGACATTCAAATGTAACTGGATGTGCTCTGGTTCCACTGGCTCAGCCTGGTGATCCCAACGGGTTGTGGGAGACTCCAGTTGAAAGCAAGCTGGGATTCAAGTTCAGTCTGGTGTCATGGTCCTTGCTTTTGTGCTCTTCAGCTTCTTTGCTTCTCCAGCAGACGCGTAGGGAAGGAATGGGGAAGGGTGGTTGCCAGCTCCGTCGTGCAGGAAGGACAAGTGCAAAGAGCTTGTGGCTCTAGGAAGCGTTATCCCACGACACGCTCCTACGGGCTGACACCAAGGACATAGATTTCACTTACTTTTGAGAAAGGAAGAGCTCAAAGACATCAGCGTCCCTCCTGTAGCCACATATCTTTAGCTGATCTTCCACTGCCTGAGAACATATAATTAATGTGTCAAGCCACATTCCAAAGAGCAAAAATACTGAGGCGTTCGCAGTTAGAAACCATAACATCTACACGGAGATCAAAAGAAAGGTGAGCATGGAGGCAACGCTTCTAAATTGATAAATTCCAACACCACAATTATATATTATTTACTTACTTTCGTGCTGGAATTCCTTTACCTTGAATCCTGCTGGGTATGGATGCATCAATAATTTTTCATCAGAAATAAAAAGTGCACATGTGAACATATATGTGCCAAAAAAAGCTTTTGATTCTGTATGAGGGAGGGTAATTTATTCTTGAATGTTCCTAAATTTATTCTTAAAATGTTTTAGAAATATTCTTCAATGTTCCTTCCAACATGTGGGGTTAGTATTTGATCATCTTCCCATGTTTGCAGGAGACATGGATCGGGGTTGGAGGCAGATGGAGTGAGGATTCCTTTTTGTGTCCATCACATGATATGTGACACCCAGGAAGTTCTTAACAAATGTCCCTTAAATCAATGAGTGAATGTATGAACAAAAGTCATTTTCTCTGCATAAATGAATACATATATTTTGCCCTGTTTGGCAAGCATTGATGTCTTTGATTTTCCTGAGTGACTAACAGTCTCCCATTGTGAGAATTTGGGATGGAGAAGAAGCAAATTTGATTCCCATAGATTTTGTTTGGGAAACGCAAATCAAGCAACTGTACTCTGAATGCTTGCCTTTCTCCACTTAAGTTTTTTTGCACAATTACAAAATGACATACAATCAAAAACAATACAGAGAAATCAGTGAGCATATTTGTAATGTTCTACTTCTCAACACAATAAAATGAAAAGTGTAATTGTGGCAATTCTGGAATCTGACCAAAATGCTAATGACTAGGGAGTCGAAGCTGGCAGCAAATTTCAAGAGGGATTTGTTGTGGATGGTGAGATTGCAAATTTGATGGAGGACTTTGATGAGAGTTAAATTTTGGGGCATGAATAAGTATTTAAGGAGCAGCTGCAAATATATAAACCCACATTTTGTCTCCTTGTTAAGCAAGCTGAATCCATATGTCATAGAAGCTGATAACGAGGACTTAGAAAATCTATTGCTTTAGGCCTCTTCTGCATTTTAAATGCAAATGCTTAAGGCATCCATTTCTGCTATGTACAACTACAGCTTTTAAAAAAGATTTATATTTTTTTATTGGAAAGTTAAATGTAAATAGAGGAGGAGAAACAGAGAGGAGAATGTTTCATTTGGTGATTTACTCCCCAAGTAGCCACAACGGCTGGAGCTCGGTTGGTCCGAAGCCAGGAGCCAGAAACTTCTTCTGGGTCTCCCATGCAGATACAGGGTCCCAGGGCTTTGGGCTGTCCTCGACTGCTTTCCCAAACCACAAGCAGGGAGCTGGATGGGAAGTGGGGCTGCCGGGATTAGAATTGGAGGCCATATGGGATCCTGATGCATGCAAGTTGAGGACTTTGGACACTAGTCTACCGTACTGGACCCCCACAACTACAGCTATGCAAGTATTTGGTTAAAAGTCAAAGCAGGATTATAAATGCCCTATTGAGTGCATTTGAGCAAGAAGGTGTGCGTTCCACAGCTTCTCTTTGTACACACTGTCTCTGCTGGTGAACAGGTTGTGAACGCCCTGAAGATGTGCCCTCACTGGAGAATGATGCGCAGTAGCTTCTGCAGAGAAGGTGCAAACATCCCTTGTGTGTATTAACCTGGCAGGGCTAGCAGATGCCAGGGGGCTAAGTAGAACACTAGTTCTGGGTGTGTCTGTGAGGACACTTCCAGAGTCATGTGACACTTGAGGGGCTGCTCTGAGGAGATAAACGACCCTCATCTGCAGGGGTGGCAGCCTGTAGAGCCTAGAGGACCCAATGATACAGAAAGGCAGTGTCAGGGCAAACATCTGTTCTGCAGTCATGCCATCCCTCTTCCTTTGACCTTGGACCTGGGCGTCTCCATCCTTGGCCTTCCCAGCATGGCCCGGGACTATGCTAACAGGCTCTTTGGCCCTGAGGTTGACATTGTCCCTTCTAATTCCTCTCTCTCTGTCTCAATATATCTTCCTGACTGCTTTCCTGGCTAAAACAAAAGAATATCTAGAATTCATGTGTAATGAATGAAATTTGCAGTGAATTTTGCATATGTATAATAACATTTTGCGAAAAGTAATATTTATGTGCATGTGGAATACACACACTCCAAAGTTTCTGCAAAAGTAGTTACTTGGAATTACAGTGATTTTTACTTCCTAGGTGATACTTTTAAAAAATAATGTTTTAAATTTCTCTCAGTACAGTTTTACTTGGTAATCAGAAAGTAACACATGCTTTTGAAAATGATAGCCATGCAAAAAGAGTTAAGGATTGAAATCAAATTTAAAGAAATATGGGGCTGGCAGTGTGACATAGCAGGTCAAGCCATGGTCCACCACATTGGCATCCTATATGGGCACCAGTCCAGATGACCTCACTTCCAATCTACCTCCCTAGTAATGACCTAGGAAATCAGTAGAGGATGAACCAAGTGCTTGGGCGACTGCTACCCACTGGGAGACCTGGATGAAATCCCTGGCTCCTGGCTCCTAACATTGGCTGATGCGGTTATCTGGGGAGTAAACCAGCTGATGCAATATTTCTTTCTCTTTTCTCTCTCTGTAACTCTGTCAAAAAAATATCAAATAGGCTTAAAAAAATACAGAAACAAGTATAAAGGGAAAGTTGAAAGTATCAGCCGAAAAGGCAAACACCAGTATTTCAATGACTGATTTGCACAACATTTTAGCGTGTATGTTTTTTCCTATCTGACAATTTTGTGCGAATCTGGTACAATGTATACATTAGCACCAACATATCTGAGTCTCAGCAGTCCCAGCAGTCCCAGCTCCCCTTCCCTGCCGCCACTTGCCCTCCTCCGTAGAAGCCTGACATGTGGATCCCGTTGCCTTTACTGTGTAGCCATCACTGAGTGCGCAATCCTGTGGTGGTTACTGCAGGCAGGTGCCTTGCACTCACAGGGGTAACCATCCCCATCACCCACGTCCTGATCACACTCATCTGTCCCCGTTGGTAGGCTGTCTCCCTCCCCCACCCTGGCTGCTCCCGGTCATTGCTGTTCTCCGATAAGGACCACCTGTATGTGAATTCTGCAGGAACTGTGCTTTTATGATGGGCTCATTTCATTTAGCACAGTGTCCTCAAGGTTTACCTATGTTGTGAAATTGTCTTTCATTTTGAAGGCTGAATAATACTCCATTGTCTCACTGGGCCTCGTGGTCTGTACCCATTCACCTGCCAGTGGACATCTGCGTTGCTTCTACCTTTGGGTGATTGTGGATAAGGCTGCCATGAACTTGGATGTGCAAATGTGCCTTTGTGTTTTTGCTCTTCCCTTCACTTGAGGAGATGTCTAGAAATGGAACTGCTGGATCATCTGGGACTTCCATCTCTTATATGACCAACTGCCATATTGTTTCCCAGTGTCAAAACCTGGTGAAGATGAACATTCTCTCAATGGTAAGTTCAGATATGCTCCCCTTGAATTCCTGAGGACTTAGTTCAGGCTATGATGAAGGTTGTCTGTGATTGGTTGGTCATTGTGGCAGAGAGTCGAGTAAGAGGCCTCACTCGAATCAAACCTGTTAGTAGGAGAATTACGAGACCGTAGGATGTGAGGCCAATATCGTGATGTACCAGATCAAGTCCTTGGCCTGCAAAACCAGCTGGCCAAGCAATGTCTGCTCGCTGCAGAGGTCATCAGAGCTGTGGGTGCACCGGCTGCGGTGCGGGATTCTACCTTGGAGGGCGAGCTCTACACAGCACAAACTCCTGGCGCAGCCCGCGGTTAGGGGAGGGTAAAGGACAGCTTAGTTGGTCGAGGTGGGCAAGGGACAGCCCAGGTGGAGGGGTTGGATGGGATTCTGCCGCTTACCTGGTGACTGCTGTGCAGGGGGACCGAGGACGCCTTCTGCATGCCGGAACTTGGGAAGGCAAGGGCCGGAGGGCTGGGCGTCCCCGCGGCAAGGATGCAGGGAAGCCGCCTGGCTCTAGGACTGACTTGGCCCGGCCACCGGCTCATTGTCCCGTTACGCCTAAGTGACCGCCATGACCCTGCATCCAGGGTTTTGTAGCCTGGAGCTGACTTCTGTGACGTGTGTGCCTGCGGCTCTGCCCCAACGCCCGCATCTGTCCCGCGTTGTGGGGTTGAGCTTGGGACTCCCCAACATGAGCTGCTGCCGCACAGGTCATTCATGGTTTTGAGTCGAAATCCTGAAACTGGCAAGTTTCAGAAAAGCAGACGTCATATGTCACCTCTTGGTGGGGAAAGGAGCGGTCAGCAGTTCCCAGGGTAGGGTTTCCCAAGAGCAGAAAAGCACCCACACAAGGGGGAATGTGTGTGTTGAAAATATCTAGCATGCTTGTTCATCTCTGGTGCGTTTTTGTTAAAAGAAACAACCCAGCCCAGAGCTGTTTATTTTGGATGGTGGGTATCTGGTGCAGTCCTTCTGTCTTACAGGAGAGCCAGGACAGCCCTTTCTTCTTGTAGACCCGGATGTGGGATGCAGCTGGAGCTGGCAGTGTTAAACCCTGCCCTACCCCCACGGTCCAGGTGTGCAGACCAAAGGAACTCTGCTGAATTTGCTGCCCACCAACATGTGCAGACTGGTCTAGTAGCAACGTAATCTCTCCTCTAATAGGAGGTGGGTAAACTGAGACATTATCTGGCCAGCCTCTTTTCATTTTGATTTCTAAAAAAGAATTTATTTATTTTTTATTAGAAAGGCAGATTTATAGAGAGAAAAGAGACAAAAAAAAAAAAACCTTCCCATCCCCTGGTTGACTCCTCAAGTGGCTACATCAGCCAGAACTCAGCTGATCTGAAGCCAGGAGCCAGGAGCCTCCTCCAGGTCCTCCAAGCGGCTGCAGGGTCCCAAGGCTTTTGAGCCACCCTCTACTTCTTTCCGATGCTTTAAACAGATAGCTGCACGAGGAGATGGAGCAGCCAGGACACCAACTGGCACCTATTTGGGATCCCAGCACTTGCAAATAAAGATTTGTCCACTAAGTCATCACTCTGGGCCTTGATTTTTTTTTTCTTTTTCTTTTTTTTTTTAAGCCAGCATTTTCCTTCAATGTATGGGGAACTGGTACAGGCTCAGTGCCAGCTCCTGGAACTGTGGAGGTAGGAGTCTCGCTGAGCCCCCACTGTCGTGACCTAGACCTAACCCAGTACACCTACTAAGCACAGATCGAATGGAATTTGTTTTGTTTTGTTTTGGCTTCAGGTTTGAACCCGAGGCACCCAAGCATCAAATGTAAAAGAATGGTGCTGGCGAAGAACAGCGAAAAATGTCTCTGTAGAGAAGTTGGATACGCACTGAGACAGCGAGCACGGGGGCCGGGGAGACAGTAAGCACCTAAGGATTCAAAATCGAAAGAGAAAACTGGCTTACTGAGAATATGAATACAGTATGGTATTCAACCTCTTGTTTCCTGTTTTTGCTGTTAGTATATCTTGCAGCATTTCCAATTTAAAAAAAAAGTATCATTATGTTTTAAAAATTTATTTATTTATGTAAAAGGCAGTGTTACGGAGAGGTGAGGAGAGACAGAGAGCAAGATGTTTCCTTCTACTAGTTGAGTCCCCAGATGGCCACAATGCCTGGACCAGGCCAAAGCTGGGGGCCTGGATCTTTGCTCAGGCCTCCCATGTGAGTTGCAGGGGCTTGAGTACTTGGGCTGTCTAACAGGGAGTTGAATCTGAAGTGGAGCAACTAGGATTTGAACCAGTGCCCATATGGGCTGCCAGTGTCTTTGAGGGTGAATTAACCTGCCAACATTCGCACCCTAGACATTTATTTACTCTAATATCTTAATTTGATCCCCTTAAAAAATTTGCAAGCTAATTGATCCTGATGATTGAAAGAATGCAAAGTTAGTACAGGAATGTCAAGTGCAGAAGATTACAAAGCCAGTTTTTGGACACAGGCTCCTCCTCAGGGGTTGTCCTGTGGGTGCCACAGGGTTTTATATCAGAAGCATCCTCCTGGGAGTCGGCAGGGACATTCTCACCTCGCCAGGGTGGAATGGCATCCTGTGGAACCAAGCTGAAATGCAAGACACTCATGTGGACATGTGCATTCTTCGTTGCAATCAATCTTGCCTTGATATCAAAATTAAAGTGGCTCCACTAACTCTCCTCAAATCTCTAAGGTGTATTTACAGTGAAGCAAGAAGGCCTGTGGTTCTCCGGAGACATTCCCGTGCTGGCACGCTGCCATCGCCTGCAGCCGTGTGCATACCCCGGTTTGAAAGCCCTCTCCTATCACGTATGTGGCTTTGCATGAGAAGAAAGAGAGCTGGCTCCAAGTCTGGGCATGTGGCCTCGCTCTCGGCTCTGACTTTAACTAGCTGCTGGCCAGCCTCGAGTCTCTTAATGTGCTGGCTCTCAGTTTCTTCAGCCATATAGTGAAGAAGTTAGGAATTTTTTTTTTAAAAAATCTAGTATGTAGAAGCGGATGTTTAGGACACCAGCATCCCATTTTGGAGTGTTTGGGTGCCTGAGTCCTGGCTTCCCCCACCCTCCCAATTCTAGTGTCCTGGGCTCCTGCCACTCACATGGGAGACCTAGACTGAATTCCTGACTCCCAGCCCCAGCTCGGCTCTAGCTGTGGCAGGCATTTGGGAAGTAAATCAGTGTATAGAAGTGCTCTCATGATCTCTTAGAAAAGTAAGAAATAAGTTCATTAAAAATCCAAAACTAAAAAAAAAAAAAAAAACCCAAAAAACCTATTACTTATTTATACTCTCCTTCACAAGCAATATGCATTGTTTCCAGGATAAATGATTCTTGTTGAACTGTTGACAAACAATAGTTGTTTTTTTTTTTCTTTTTAACAGTAAGCTTCCAATGAAGAATGTATGAGAAAGATGGTCGGGGTGGGTGCTGTGGAACAGTGGGTAAAGCTCCCACATGGGATGCTGGAATTCCACATCAGCGTGCCAGGGTTGAGTCCCAGCCACTCCGTGCTCCCAGTGCGGCTTCCTTCTAATACACCTGAAAGGTGGTCAATGATGGCCCTGACCTTGGGATCCTGTGTCTGTGTGGAAGACCTTGGTGAAGCTCCTGCCTCCTGGCTTTGCTATAACTCAGTCCTAGCTGCCATAGGCAATGGGGAGCTGCAAAGAGCTGATGGACTGTATCTGTTGTTCTGCCCCTTTGCTTTTCAAATAAAAAGTAATTTGTGTAATGGTTGTCATTAAGGCTTCATGATTTAAAAAACTCTTCCTGGTTTTGTCTTCAATAATTATTGCGGTCAGTGGGAATATTGTTTTTTTCCAAGTGAAATGAGAAATACTTATTAGTAAAATAATTATCATTCATTTTCTACCACAGTGAATGAGTACACTATATTAGTTTCAATAAACATTTCTTTTTGAAATTTATTTATTTGAAAAATTTACAAAAGAAGGAGAGAGAGAGAATATCTTTCATAATCTGGTTTACTCTCTAGATGGTTACAAAGCCTGGGGCTGGGCTGGACTAAATGCCAGCAGCCAGAAGCTTTTTCCAGGTCTCCTAGCGGATGCAAGGCCCAAGCACTTAGATCACCTTCCACCACTTTTCCTAGGTCATTAACAGGAACTGAATTGGAAGTGAAACTGCACCATAATTATGAATGCTTAGTAAGCATTCTTACGTGTAAACCTCTATAAGTTCTTGTTTGAGACCTGGTTGCTCCATTTCCCATCCAGTTCTCTGCTAATGGCCCGGGAGAAGCAGTGGAATATGCTCCAAGTCCTTGGGCCCTGCTACCCACATGGGAGACCTGCAGGAAGCTCCTGGCTTCGGTCTGGCCCTGCCCCAAGCCATGGCAGCCATTTGGAAAGTGACCAGAGGATGTTTAAGAATGTATGATCTCTCTCTCTCTTTCCTACAACTTTGAGTTTCAAATAAATAAGACAAGAGATCTTTTGTATTTTTAGAAATTTCCTCCTTCTGTATTCATTTTCAGTTTAGTTTTTAGTACTTTTTTTGGAAGATTTAGTTATTTTTACTGGAAAGGCAGACTTACAGAGAGAAAGAAAGACAGAAGGATCTTCCATTTTCTGGTTCACTACCCAGATGGCTGCAACAGCTCAGCTGAGCTGATCCAAAGTCAGGAACCAGCAACCTCTTCCAGATCTCCCATGCAGGTTTAGGATACCAAGACTTTGGGGCTTCCACCTCTGCTTTCCCTGACAGTTGTATGAGAATTGTAGCAGTGGGGACATGAACCAGCACCCACAAGGGATGCTGGCACTTGAAGGTAGGGGATTAAACAATTGAACAGGCCCCCAATCATACAGGCCCCTAAAAAATAGAAGTATTAAAAAAGATGTATCTTGTGTTGTATTTGTTGTATGATGATATGAGCATATTGTCATTATTACACATTTGGGTAAAGTGCACACGTGACAATCTTGGAAGATGATAATTCTCTATGAGTCTACCTTCTGTTATGGCAAAAGAAGAAAGGCACTGATTGTTTTTGTTAAGAATTATATTTCCAGGCTCGGTACGATGGTTCAATGGTTGAATCCTTGCCTTGCATGTCCCAGAACGTGCCAGTTTGTGTCCCCGCAGCTCCACTTCCCTCCTCAGGCAGGCCTACTGCCAAGATGAGAGGTTTGGGTTCCTAAGCTGTGTATTTCGAGCTGCAACCCCATGGCTCCATCACTTGGCCCGTTTTGTGTTGCCCTCTGGGAAGTGCAGCTCAGAGAACTGGTTTGCTTGCTGTTGCTGTGAATGATGAACTGTCCTTGGTCTGTGATCTGGAAATCTTGACTTCTGCCAGCACTAATAAAACTGGCAGGCTGGTTTTTGCTTCTACTTGCACAGATTTGTTTGTTTTAAACGTGAGCAAATGATGTAATTTTTGCTTCAGTGCTTGCATTTCTCTACTATCCTGTGAACTTGCATCTTTTTTTTCTATGATATATTTGTTTACTACATTGAAAAGGCGAGTTTACAGAGAGGAGAGACAGAGAATAAGATCTTCCACTGGCTCACTCCTCAAATGACTACAATGGCCAGAACTAAGCCAGGAGCCAATCTA